ACGGTTTGATCCGTGGTCTGCAATTCTCTGGCTTCGTTTTCCAGTACTATGGCCTGATGATCGATTTGCTGCTCCTCGGCCTGCAGAGAGCTAGTGAAATGGCTGGACCCCCCGCGAGCCCCAACGATTTCTTGCAGTTCAGAGACCGTGCTACAGAGACAAAACATCCCATTCGTCTGTACACGCGTTACGTCGACAAGATCTGGGTCTTCCTTCGTTTCTCTGCCGACGAGTCTCGAGACTTGATCCAGCGCTTCTTGACTGAGAATCCGGATCCCAACTTCGAAAACGTCATTGGATACAAGAACAAGAAGTGTTGGCCTCGTGACTGTCGCATGCGTTTGATGCGTCATGATGTCAACTTGGGCCGTGCTGTATTCTGGGATTTGAAGAACCGCCTGCCGAGGTCAATCACTACCATCGAATGGGACGACACTTTCGCCAGCGTCTACAGCAAGGATAACCCGAACCTTCTGTTCTCTATGTCCGGGTTTGAAGTCCGCATTCTTCCCAAGTGCCGCAACCAGAATGAGGAGTTCTCGGTGAAGGACAGCGTTTGGTCTCTTGTCGATAACTCGACTAAGGAGCGCACAGCTCATGCTTTCCTCCAGGTCACAGAGGAGGATATTCAGAAGTTCAACAACCGGATTCGTCAGATTCTCATGTCGTCCGGTTCTACGACTTTTACTAAGATCGCAAACAAGTGGAACACGGCTTTGATCGCACTCTTCACCTACTATCGTGAAGCTGCTGTATCAACTGTCAACCTTCTGGATACGATCGTCAAGTGCGAAACCAAGATCCAGACCCGTGTCAAGATTGGTTTGAACTCTAAGATGCCTTCGCGTTTCCCTCCCGCTGTCTTCTACACCCCCAAGGAACTGGGAGGTCTAGGTATGATTTCTGGATCCCACATCCTTATTCCGGCTAGCGACAAGCGGTGGTCCAAGCAAACGGATACGGGTATCACCCACTTCCGTGCGGGTATGTCACATGACGAAGAGACCCTGATCCCGAACATCTTCCGTTACATCATCCCCTGGGAAGCCGAATTCATTGATTCTCAGAGAGTGTGGATGGAGTATTCGCAGAAGCGGCAGGAGGCTCAGCAGCAAAACCGCCGTTTGACGTTGGAGGATTTGGAGGACAGCTGGGACCGTGGTCTTCCCCGTATCAACACCCTGTTCCAGAAGGATCGCAGTACGCTCAGCTTCGACAAGGGTTTCCGTCTTCGCGCTGAATTCAAGCAATACCAGCTGATGAAGAGTAACCCGTTCTGGTGGACTAGTCAGAGACATGACGGAAAGCTGTGGAACTTGAATGCTTACCGTACCGACGTCATCCAGGCCCTTGGTGGTGTCGAAACCATCCTTGAGCACACCCTGTTTAAGGCAACTGCATTCCCATCGTGGGAGGGTCTCTTCTGGGAGCGTGCCTCAGGCTTCGAGGAATCGATGAAGTTTAAGAAGCTGACGAACGCTCAAAGATCAGGTTTGAACCAGATCCCTAACCGTCGGTTCACTCTGTGGTGGTCTCCCACCATCAACCGTGCCAATGTGTACGTTGGTTTCCAGGTCCAGCTGGATCTCACGGGTATCTTCTTGCACGGTAAAATTCCGACCCTGAAAATCTCGTTGATTCAGATCTTCCGTGCCCACTTGTGGCAGAAGATTCACGAGTCCGTCGTTATGGATTTATGCCAGGTCTTCGATCAGGAGCTTCAGCAGTTGGGTATCGAGACAGTTCAGAAGGAGACGATCCACCCACGTAAGTCTTACAAGATGAACAGCTCTTGCGCCGACATTCTGCTTTTCGCAACGAACAAGTGGAACGTCACTCGTCCCTCCTTGCTGTTCGATACCAAGGACGTGTACGAGCCAACCACGACAAACAAGTTCTGGCTTGACGTGCAGTTGAGATATGGTGACTACGACTCCCACGACATTGAGAGATATGTTCGTGCCAAGTATCTCGACTACACTACCGACAGCATGAGTATTTATCCTTCTGCTACCGGTTTGATGATTGGTATTGATCTCGCGTACAACCTGTACTCGGCATATGGACAGTACTTCCCTGGTTTGAAGACTCTGATCCAGCAGGCTATGGCCAAGATCATGAAGGCGAACCCCGCCTTGTATGTCCTGAGGGAACGTATCAGGAAGGGTTTGCAGCTCTATGCCTCGGAAAGTAACCAGGAGTTCCTGAACTCCCAGAACTACTCGGAATTGTTCAGTCCTCAGATTCAGCTGTTCATTGACGATACCAATGTCTACCGTGTCACCATCCACAAGACCTTCGAAGGTAACCTTACGACCAAGCCCATCAACGGTGCTATCTTCATCTTCAACCCCAGAACAGGACAATTGTTCTTGAAGATCATTCACACCAGTGTCTGGGCTGGACAGAAGCGTTTGGGCCAGTTGGCCAAGTGGAAGACAGCAGAAGAAGTTGCGGCCCTCATCCGATCCTTACCTGTTGAGGAGCAGCCAAAGCAGCTTATTGTTACCCGTAAGGGTCTGTTGGATCCCCTTGAAGTCCACTTGCTTGACTTCCCTAACATTTCCATCCGAGCTTCCGAGCTTCAGCTGCCTTTCCAGGCCGCGATGAAGGTTGAGAAGCTTGCGGATATGATTCTCCGGGCAACCGAGCCTCAGATGGTTTTGTTCAACCTGTACGATGAGTGGCTGAAGTCAATCTCACCTTACATTGCCTTCTCTCGTTTGATTCTCATTCTGAGAGCCCTCCACGTCAACATTGATAAGGCGAAGATTATCCTCAGACCTGACAAGAGTGTCATCACCCAAGAGCATCATATCTGGCCTTCGTTGTCGGATGAGGATTGGATGAAGGTTGAAGTGCAATTGCGTGATTTGATTCTCAATGACTACGGCAAGAAGAACAATGTCAACGTTCAGAGTCTGACCAGTAGTGAAGTTCGGGATATCATCCTCGGTATGGAGATCAGTGCTCCTTCACTTCAACGACAGCAGGCTGCGGAGATTGAAAAGCAGCAGGAAGAGCAGAAGCAACTCACGGCTGTCACGACGAAGACACAGAACGTCCGTGGTGAGGATATCATCGTCACCACCACGTCTCAGTACGAGCAGCAATCGTTTGCCTCCAAGACTGAGTGGCGCACACGAGCAATCGCGACGTCCAACCTTCGCACGAGGTCGAACAACATCTACATTTCGTCGGATGATATCCGGGACGAGGGATATACCTACATCATGCCGAAGAACGTCCTCAAGCGATTCATCACGATTGCGGATCTGCGTGTGCAAGTTGCTGGCTACCTGTACGGTACCTCCCCTCCTGATAACGATCAGGTGAAGGAAATCCGCACCATTGTCATGATCCCCCAGGTGGGCAACACGCGTGAGGTGCAGTTGCCGCAGCAGCTGCCCCAGCACGACTATCTCAACAACCTCGAGCCTCTGGGTGTTATCCACACCATCTCTGGAAACGAGCCCCCTTACATGACGGCCATGGATGTTACACAGCATGCTCGTTTGATGAACGCCCACTCATCCTGGGACAAGAAGACGGTTACCATGACAGTATCTTTCACCCCTGGATCGGTGTCACTCGCGGCTTGGGGCCTCACGCCCCAGGGCTACAAGTGGGGAGCAGAGAATCGTGATACCACATCTGATCAACCGCAAGGATTCTCGACCAGCATGGGAGAGAAGTGCCAGCTGTTGCTCAGTGACAAGATCCGTGGATACTTCCTGGTGCCGGAAGACAACGTCTGGAACTACAGCTTCATGGGCAGCTCCTTCGGCGGAGTGGAGAAGCGGCCGGTGTACGTGAAGATCGACACCCCCCTGAGATTCTACGATGATCAACATCGTCCATTGCACTTCCAGAACTTTGCGGAACTGGAAGATATCTGGGTTGACCGTTCTGATAACTTTGCGTGAGCGATGTGTGGATGGCGTTGGCATGATATTGTTTTTTACCTTTTTATACGGATGATTACGTTGTTTCGAGACTCTTTCCTCTTTTTCTCCAAGCCTTTATTCTTGTTTTTCCCTTTGACATCCTCTTTTCCTTATAATGTTCGCAGTATACAAAATCCTCTCATGTGTCTTACTATGGTTACATTTCTTTGATATTGATGCTTGGCAGCAAGTGAGGGATGAGAAGCCCAACGGACGGAAGTGGAGATCCGGTGGCGGGGGAACGGGCGGGAAATAGCTGCGCTATGTACAGTAGAGATGTAGGTAGCGATGTATGTTTAAGAAGTTAATTACCTAAAATGGTCATTGGTCGGTCGATATTATCATGTATCTATACTCAGATACTGTAGGCAGAGTGGACGAATTGATATGGAGTCGCAACAGGCAGTTAAAACACAAATCCGGGCTTAGGAGTTTAGGGGATCGACCATGTGGGTGGGCAGCAGAGCTAACTAAGAGGGCCGGAGGAGACTGTCAATCAATATGGACCATGTGTGAGTCCACTTTGGGCCGGGTAGGTTAATCGTTATTAACCGTCTAGCAATAATAATAATAATAATGATAGATATAATCTAAACCCAGAATATGCTTAATAACGGCAGTTTAATAGTCTAGTAGTCTACAGAGTAGTAGTCTAGTTTGATGAGGGGGTTGGTTGACGTGTGTATTTTATATTTTTAATTTATCTTGCAAATTGTATTTTTATTTTTTGAATTGAAGCCGGGGTGGGAAGATCGGTGTTTGTCTGATGGAACTTGACCGAGAGAAAGACGGGGCAGATGAAGGAGGGGGGGCTGCTGGCTCTTGTCTCTCACTCCCTCACACTCCCTCACTCTCACTCCCTTCTCACCTACTCTCTCCCTCTCCCTCCCTCACTCACTCACTCTCTCTCTCTCTCTCTCCTGTTCGCCCGTCCGAACCCACCCACCCTACTGAACACTATTTCCCTCTCACATCATTCTCATTTTTTTTCCCCTCCCTCTTGTGTGCCGTGCACGGCTGCTACTAAAAACGCCTTTCAACCCACCCCCTGCTTCACTTTTTCTCCTCCACACCATCCCTTCCGGCTGGATCCGATGTACATTTCCAACGTTCTGGCCCAAGCACTCGCTCAGTCAGCTGGTCGGGGCGTCTAAGACATTCATGTCGGGCTCATTTAATTTCTGTGGTTTGATGCAAATGTGATCAACTCGACTGTTTCACCAGTGCCTCATGGCCTGAAATCTCGGGACGAAAGTCAAATTGCAGAGACCCATCGAAAGAACTCGCCCTGCAACTGCAAGATACGATGGATGGGCTTACGGGGATCCACCTCGACGCCAATCCTATCCGGAGTACGGAGTACACGCCTACTTGAGACTACTACCGCTACAGGTTAAGGCTACAATCCTGTCTGAGAGGGGTCTTACGTGTTGTGTACAAAGTATAAGCTCCCCAACCCCGTTTTCTTTTCTAATTTGTTGGTTTTTTTATATTATCTTCTAAATTCCCTTTGTTGTCTTCCTGCATGTGTCCATGATCTATGATCTGTGATGCTCATTGATCGAGCAGGACAATAATTAGGAAATCAGCCGGATGCTTAAATCGTAACTCACTCTCTGGAGTAGCTTTCTCTCCATCTCAACCGCCATGACACGGTGGTGGCTTTCGGGGCCTCTCTCTGTCTCTCTTTCTCTCTCTCACCATAACAACAAACAGCTCGAGCTACTGCTACTACCCTCACCCGCCCACGGCCTATCATATCATTAAAAAAGGAAATAAGGAAAATAAAAAGGAACTAAAAGATTAGACACTTTCATGACAACCCACCTCTCACATATTTTACCCACGCGCTAAGCTCCCGGCCTCCGACCGTTCTCGGGGGCTTGTGTCCACGAGGATGACCTAGAATCGAGAGCAAATAAGGTTGACAGGAAGGCTCTTGCTCTCATCAGAAGGGTCAAACTTGCTCCCCTTTGACAAGGTACATGGCTTCCCTGTCTAGCTTCGTCTGGCCTCACGACCCAAGGGGGCCGGAGACCCAAAAAGAACAAAAAAGAAAATAAAATAAAATTAAGAACAAGGAAAAAAAGCGAGGCCAGAAGAAAAGAAAAAAGGGGAAACTAGACGTGGGTACTGTTTAGGCTCGAGCCTGACCCGCGATCTTTTTTTTTTTTCTCTCTTCTGCGCGATAGAGTCGTATTCTTAGTCGATGGGGAGGAACCACTACCGCACATCGTTCATGTGTGATTGAGGAGTCGTGATGTGCGCGCGCGCTCTCCCTTTTTGACTTCTCTCACTGGTGTTGTGTTGGTTTAGCTTCCCGCGTCCGTTCCAGGCTACGGGATTTTTATATACACTATCCAGACCAGGGTCGTTGCTCCATTTCCCCCTCGAGAAACAAAGGCTCGGCCGGAACTCCCTGCTTAGCATGATGGCCCACCTCCGAGCAAGCTAGCACCCTCCCGCTAGTCATTCCAATCACCTTTCCCAGGTGGATGTCTCGCCGACGACCGTTCTCTACCCGCCATTGGCGTATTCGCTGAGTGGAGTTGCTGCGTCGACGTACGACGGTCCTTGTTCTGACAGGGGGCGAATTCCTGAGCGAGTTAGGAGCAGACCAGCACAACAGGTTTGACTCCCTTGACCCGAGTCCACCGACTCGCTCGTCTCATCCACGTTCGTATCCAATAAGTTAACTTCAGATTATGTCTGGCCTACGTATGTATGGGTTTGGGCTTGGGCTTGGATCTTTCCCCCCGCTTCTGCGTTTGCTCGGGGCTGGAGACGGTAGAGCCCCGAGGGAAGGGAGGGGGGGGGAGAGAGAGGAGAAAGTGATGGATTTGATTGATGAATGGTGGGAGGGCGACTCTTTGTCTACCTGAGCTTTGGCTGGTTCGCCGTGTTTCAAACTTGTACACAGTATCTTCCGACAATTGCCCTAAATTCCTCCTCTACGGCAGTCATTGCCATGCCTTGGCAATCACCAGACGGGCCGGCGGAAGGCAAATGGTAGCCTCATCCTTCGTCCTGCTGGCATCCATGACCGTTGTCCCCTCTGGGTCCCTCTGCAAGCTAAGCTTGACTGGAACGCAGATCCGTCAAATGGGCGATTTCTTCTGCCAGCCCACCTGCACCTTTCTGATTTGGGTTATATGGAGTGTCTCCGTGTCTCGTCAATTTTACCCCATGGATTCTGACAGCTTATTTATTATGATTTGCCATTTCCAGAACCTTTCCTCGGCCGTCTACGCTGCCGTATATATCCTCTAACACTTACCCTATCACTGCTCTGCACGGGACTTTTACATGCAGCTGGAAGCAGCATCCCGGCATCAACCTCCACTTGTTCTTCCCCGTTAGATCCTGCATCTCAAACGACGGAGGAATACGGGCTGCAAGCCTATCTGCGGAGTCTCTGGCATGAGAATCAGACCTCCGACCTCTCAGTACTCAGTAGATTTGGTTGGGCCGGGCCTCTCGTCGGTGCGTCTGGACTCTGGTGAAGATTACCGGTCTTTTTCGGGACTTCCCAGCTGGCGCGCTCATCACTGACCCGGTGAGTAGTACTAGTAACCCATCTATTCATCCCTTTCGCCCAGTGACTTTCCCTTTCTCATGGTGGCCAGACCGTGTGTCGCCTCTAGCTTCCTCTTCTTGTTCTCCCTTCCTCGTCTGTTTCTCCTCTCGATCTCTTGGCTGTTTTCTTTCAAATGTGTTCGATGTTCTGCGACCTTACCTCGCTACTCTCTTCCTTCCTGTTCCTTGGGATGAGCTATCACTGTGTCTTGACGTTGCTGTCGAATCATTCG